CTGCGTCCTTTCCCAAATGATTATTGTTGTCGTCGGCATTTGCCTCCCCTTTTTTATTGGAAAAGCAAATGTAGCGTTAATTTTGTGCCGCATGAAAGGAAATGTCATCAGGACAATCAGCGTATGGTCAACGTCCTGTTCTGTTCCCATGAATAATGTATGCATTCGCACGAAAATCTCGACCCATTTGGTTGTAAGCGACTCCTTAGATATTCCCGAAATTAATAATCGGTTAAAAGGAATCTAGAACAGGTCATTACGAGAACTCATTTAGCATAGCGTATACAAAACGTCAATATTAAGATAATTGTATCGTAAATTATTAAAGAAATGAAATTTTTTATTTCCTTGCTATGAAGGACATTTAATAATTTCAGAACAAAAAACCTTGCTTTTAAGATATTTCAGTTAATATGCAAAGAATTTTTGCAAATATTTAACAATTATTGATAGTTGAACTTATCGAGTGGTATAGCCTTGTTTTTAATATGCTTCAATCTACACTCTCCCCATTAAAATCGTCAGGCGACAGTACTCAAGCTTTTAATGTCGAACACAATCAATCTGACAATCATGTTGAATGTTTCCTGAAAGCCGGAAAATTGCCACCTCAATTCGCACAACATCGAGAGACCGCAACCGCTTGATAACTCGCAATTCCCGAAAACGAAAATTGAAAAAGTTTTGACAAAAGTATTTGAAAAATGCGGCCAAAAAAAGTTCATGGGGGAATTTTCGGTGATTCCGCAGCATACTTTTCAGGGCTACTTGGCTCACCGCTCATTAACGGAGGGGAAAAATATAAATAAATAGGTGGGGATCCGCCTGGAAAAGTAACTCACGTCTTATGCCCCAATCCATCATTTTGCAGACTTTCTTTGGCGACCTCTTAGCTGATGACTACTATTAGGTGGACGACATAGACCCTCCTCCTCTACTCCTCTCCTCCTCCGCAACAGCCGAAAGCTATGGAGATAAAATCACTTTGCTAGTGCTCGGCAAGGCAAATTCAATTGAACGGCTTCTAATTTTGACAATTTTCTGTATGCATGGTGGGCGGTGGAGGAGGAGGCGCGACACCACCCGACGACGATGGCCGCCCAGCCATCATCCTGCCATCGTTCTATCTTCTGGAAAAACTGTTGCCGCCGTCGCTGTTTGCCGGTGAACTTTTAGCGCCTGGCTCGAGCTCGAATACAACTGCGATGTTTCCCGAAAGCGGGTTTCCCGAAAGCGCCGCGTCGTGCTTTCCCGAGCAGCATTACTTCATGACTGAACCTGACACTGAACGTGAACCTAATGCCTGCGCTGTTGCCCCAAACACAATGCGGAAAATACGGAATTCGGCTTTTCCTCGGAGAACTCTGTCGGCCATCGGCATCGCACACGGTTTGAGTGTTTTCAGAGAGAACAATATTTCCGATAAGCTGAGTCGAATATTTTAAAAATATGCACTAAACCAAATATCAACATCAAAACTAAAACCTTCTTTAAAGTAGAGTAGTACTCACTTAATCGTATACTTAATATCTGTTTTTATTAATTTAGAATGTTTTGTTTGCAGTGCACATGTGTCTGTGTGAATTTTATAGCGAAGTGTGACTGTGAAGTGCACGGCGTAGATAATGGACAATGGGATGTGTGTTGGTGGAGCATTCCCCAGCCATTCTCTACCTCCATTGGCTTACCGCCTTTAGGACTTGGGTCGGCGGTACTTCGACATTGCTAAGGACACTGAACGCTCGAAGAAACAACAATAACAGGAATTGAAAGCATAAACAAAATATGTCCGCCATGTTTTCCTCATTTCCTAATAGCTGTTATATATGAAATATGGAATAGGATCTTTAAACAATTTGATAACTTGATTTTCAGAAACTTGTAATATTTGTTGCATTGTTGAGAAACCACAAAACCACTAAAATTAATTAATTAGAGTTACATCTGCAAAACTAGCGTTAGTTTTCTTACATTTAATTACTTTTATTGGCCTGTTATTATCCAATAAAATTTGTTTAATCACCCCAGAAGGACTTTAAAGTGATCAATTTAAATTATTACTCAGATAAAGTAGCTAACATTAAAGTCAGAGGCAAATTTCTGTTACCTATGTTGTATTGTGTAGCAAATTTATAAAGAAAGCTCATTCCCTTCCCCTGTCGGTAAACGTTCAAGTGACCAAGAGCTTGGGACTCGTTCTTTTCGGGTCGGTATTCCTGTTGCTGACCCACCAGGTGGTGGCTGGATTGCCGACGATGCGGCCGCAAAGGTATGGCCATTATCCTTGACAGGACGAACGCACGGAAGAGAAATTGACGCACGCCAGAGACACCAAAACAAATCGAAAAGGGTGGAATGGGTTAAGTCACCCGGCAGGAAACTCCCAGCTGACACGCAACGAAACAGTTTGAAGTTTATATCCTACAACCTCAAAGTGAGCAATAAAATTTGATAAGCGGAAATATTCTTTTATAAGAAAGGGTCTCCTATTGAATTGAATATTTTTATAGCAATATTTGTGTTAACTTTAACAACAATTCAATGTAAGTTTGGACTTTAAGATATTTTTCATACTGTATGAAACTCAGCCCCCATTAAATTGTTATAGTATGATTTATATTAAGGGTAAGCCAATTATAAAACTTGTTAATAATTTATAATAATTTTAAAAATGGAAATGAATGTTTCTACAAATGAAAGTAACTTTCACAGAACACAAATTACCCAGTCAAGTTATATATTTGTTCATCTTATTTATTAGTTTTCACCCACTGTGCAGTAGAATCCCAGACACACAAAAAGGAAATTAAATCGAAAGCGACGCAACCGAAGCACAAAGGACGCGAGAGAGCGAAAGGGACAGAAGACTTTCACTGGAGAGAATCCGAATTCGTCTCTCTCGGCAATAAATATTGAAAATATATTAAGAGAAATACGTACGTTCCCGACTTTGGCAAGAAGAGAAATGCCAGCCTCGCATCACCAACCGACTACAATTAAGCTGATTAGGTCAAAACAGAAAAAAAAAAAAAAACCACTTGATAGCTAGGAAAGTCATAGAAGACAGAGAATTTCATGCAGTTAGCAAACTGTCGCAGGTGTTTTGTGTTTGGTTTATCTTGAAGAACAACACCCTTCGTAGAAGGCTCATTGGGAAACGTGAAAATGACTTTTCATCTCTATCTAGAATCTAGAGATAGCAAAGACCAAGATATGACCCACATTGCTTTTGTCCGCTGGAATGCGCTGACCCAAATTGATTGTGGCCCAAAAACTGGCCGAAACTAAGTCACAGCGGTAAACAATTCACATGTTTTTAAGCAAACATTCGCTTCGTTAAGCTGGCGCACAAAAGTAGGCAACAAGAAAAAACGACCACCAATTAGCAATGCCGGCGGCGACATCGACGTCAGGCGACAACAATGCGGGCAAAGTGCGGTCGCAATTTACATTTTACACCTTTAAAATGGCCCAAGGGACTTTCAGGAGAGACAGGTGGATAAATAGACAGGGGAGAACGAGCAGACCGAGTGGGAGGCTACATGTCTGCCAAGAGGTCCTGGGTGCAGGACCCAATGTCTTTATTATAAGCGGTCCCAGTAAAATTGTGGGTTCATGCTACACTCAAACAAATATGTGCAACGTTGCTGTCGAATTTAATTCTTAGGTTTTGAAATGTGTGGTTTGTTATGTTTGAAAATTTAAGGAAGAACCGTGTTTGATGTTCTGTGTGGATAAATTCATCCATTTTTACAAAGCAAAAATTCCTCTTTCTCAACATTAGTAAAGAATTGCTGTGTTGTTTTTCCTGTGTAAATTCGCCTTATCTTTCTATTTGACATCTGGTGTGTTGGGTCATGTTAGATGATTGCGCACAACATTTCCGCACCAAGTTGTATTTACATTTTCCTAAACACATATATACGTTTTCTATTTTTTTGTACTTTTGCTTCTGGCTCTGCAGTTTTTGATTCCTCATTAAGTTAATTGCGCAGTGTCCAAATAGAAAATTATATGAACGAAATAGGCCGCTTTCATTTTGTGTCGTTTCAAAATACAAACTTTTCAAGCATTAATATTTTTTTTGTAAATAATTATTGGAATCGGAATTAAAAAAAAATTTAAGAAAACTGTTTTTCAGAAATGCGCATATTTGTTTTTCTAAACAAAATTTTTTTATTTCCATTTCAAACTATGTATAGGATAAGATAAAATAAAATTAATTTAAATTTGTTCGTTCGTTCAATTTGTGGAACCTAAGACCTACCCACCACAGGTAAATGTTCTACAATACATATTCACCACACAAGTCCTAGCATGGTTGACGAATCCACTAAGGGTTGTGGCGCGGATAAGTGTTTAACATATGAATTCACCATTCTTAGAGAACCGAAAATAAATAAGTTCAAAATAAGAAAAGTCTAATTCACCTCTATTAATGTAAATGGTTTATAAAATACAACATAAATCGCAACTTACGTAGCTTCTCACAAAAATCGTCTTTCATGTTCAACTCAAGTTGATCTTCTTTGAGAAATATTATTTTTAATAAAGAAATTGACTCTACTTTTAAAGGTTTTCTCAAAATATTTGTTCTGGTTCAATAACAATTTTTTTTCTCATAAATTTGTATCTTTTAGAGAAAGTTTAATTACTTTAAAACACAATATCTCTAAGTCACTTTTAAAAACACTGCAAGCTTAAGAAATTCCGTCGCGACGCTAAGAAATGCCAACCGACTACTGAACCGAGTCTAAGAGTCTGCAAAAATATGAATAAAATAAATAGCAACAGTCACCTTGCTTAGTTGTTGTTGTTGTTCGTTTTTTGCTGTCAGTCAGTCGGTAACTGAGTGAGTGAGCGAGCATAATTATTGATAAAACAAGGCTGATATCATGCCAAGAATACTACGTGAATATTTATGAATGAAGTAGCAGTCCCCCCACAAAAGAAAATTGATTTTAAATGGTTGAAAATCAGGCAACGTGAATAGCACTCACCTCGCGACGTCGGGTGGTTCATGAGTATCGAAAGCGGGCACTCGTCATCATCGAGTATATACTCCGTTCCATCGCTGTTGACCTGCATTTGAAATGGAGTAGTATTAAAGAGTGCACCAATAGATTTGCAGGGAGATATAGAGCCTTTCAATATAGAAGTTATAGCTTGTATAGATGTGACTTTTAGACTTTTGAATTTACGCTTACAAATGAGTATAAATGAATAATTAACAGATTGCAATGGATACAATGTTTCAGATTGAAACAATTAATCGCGAATAATATACATGAAGTCCAAACTAGGTCACCACTCTATATCTTCACTTGACTTATGACATCCCACCTGAACCAGGCAGTAGTGCAGGGGGTCGGCCTTCTCCAGTCCGTATTTTGTGAGCATTTCCCGGACAACTGCCTGGGCGCAGTCTCTGATGGAGAGCAGCAAGGTCTTGTAGGGCACGTCCTGGCACAGGCTCTCCCCGTAGATCTTCAAGGTGCCCCCGGTGTCCGGACCACCGTCCCTGGAACGGAACTGCTGTAGCTTCTTCTCCAGCTTCTGCTGTCGCCGGCGCCGCATCACGGCCTCCGGATTTGAGATCGATCGTGTGAACGAGGTTTCCGGCAGTTCCGTGTACAGTTTTCCGGCCACAGCATCGCTGCCGTCGCCGCCGCCTCCTCCGGCGTTGCCATTCATGTGGGCCGATCCCGTTCCCGATCCGCCTATCCCGTTGCCCAGGCCCAAGTGACTGCCATTGGAGGTGGGCGGGTCGGAGCTCAGCTTCGCCATCTTCTCCTTCTTCTTCTGCTCCTTTTTCTCACGCTTCGAGAGCTTTCGCTTGAAGTTCAGATCAGTTTGCTCGATGGGCTGCGGATAGAATCGTAATATTAGTACAGATCAGCGGGTTAAGTATTGGCACTCACAGTGGTCTTCTGGTCAATGTTCTTGAGCAGGAAGCGACCCTCGCGATCGTCGATGTGCCAATTGAGTTGCACCAGCAGCGGCTTCTCGTCGGGATTGAGCCGCCGCTCCTCGCCATTGGCGTGCACCTCGTAAAGCGCGTAATTGGGCACGGATAGCATCCGCATATCGGGACGGAATTTCTCGATGAGTGTGTCTAAGGACAAAGTTATCGAGTGCATTAGCCAACTTTTATAAAGAGTATAATAGATTACAAATTTAAATATATATTTTAGTATATCAGTATCTCTTCATTTTAAATTTAATTAAATAAACCAACATAAATAATTTCATTATGAAAAACTATCTAAAACTGTTAAAAGCTTGATAAATTGTAAATTCAGAACACGGAGTTATTAATAACATATTAATATTAATATATAATATATATTATATATATAATAGTATATCAGTATCTCTTCATTTCAAATTTAATAAAATAAACCAACATAAATAATTTCATTATAAAAAACTATCTAAAACTGTTAAAAGCTTGCTAAATTGTAAATTCAGAACACGGAGTTATTAATATTAATATTAATATATTAAAGCAATAATTAAAGTATGGAAAGTTGGGTAGTTATTTAACTTGTATTTACTGGGAAAACTCAATTATATTTGTGTCTTGGCCTTACCTATGACATCTGTGACGGTGGCATCGGAAGCCACACGAATGCACTTGGTGGCCACCTTCTGGCCAGCATCTTGGAAGTAAAAGCGCATAACGCCATGGAAGAGCAGGTTCTGCGGTTGGCATAAATAAAAGGTTATGTGAATTCCACACCTGCTGACAGGCAAGACAAGCAGACTCACTTCGTCTGGCTCGGAGAGCGCAAACAAATCCAATCGATTGGCATTCCATTGCTGAATCACTGAACGAACTGCCTCGCGATCCAACATCTTCTTATCATGTGACATACTGTACAGGTTGTAATCGGGGAGGGGGACAGTCTCGTCTCAGTTCTGGGAAAATTGTTCGTGTTGTGACTCCAGTGTGACGTCGTTTATCTATCGTTCTGTTCTGGGGGCTCTGACTCTCTGTAAACAATCAAGCATGCATTTTTGATAAAATTAGATTCTGGGTTTACAACTTCCACGAAAGCGTCATAAACGAAGGCGGAATCACCAATGAAAAGTAAAAAGTTGGCGCAGATGTGGCAAACATTAAATTTCCGTTGCCAAATGTAAACAGCGATGGGTCAAGATGGGCAGGAAAATATATAGCCAGACATTGTATAATATATATACGTCTGATCACCTAGAAACTCTGATCAGGAAATAAAATTAAAATAAGTGAACAAGGAAACTTGCTTCTATCAAAATATTTAAATTTTATAAATAACTTAATATAACCTTTGCTTTTTCATTCCTTTATCCACCTTTGGAGGGAAATAAATAAAAGAAACTCTCTTGATTTACGATCGGTTGGATAAACATTTCCGGAGAGTGGGGAACTGCGGCTTCCCTGGTTTCCCTGGCACATGTCAACTGCCACATAAGTATATGACAATCACCCGGCTCCTCTGCCTCTGCAAGCCAATTAAAAGTTCCATTACATGATCATATCTAACCAGAATTCCCACACCAACTTTCTGCGCTCAGCGACCCTAAACAAATAACTTCATCAAAGCAGAAAATTTCAGGGCATTTGTACAAATAACCTCAAGACGTTATTTAGGGCGTGTTTTTCAGTTGTTTCTGTTGGTTTCATACCAGTGCAAGAAACGTTCAGAGTTCCGTAAAGTTATTCCAGAACGAAGTGATGTCAAAGAGCGGAACTATGCCTGAACTAAACTATTTCAACCCTCCTTTTCTTTGGGTTCTTTAAACTTTTTCGCTGCTATCTGTTGGCAGTATTTTCCCCGAGCTCCCCGAACGCTTGCCCTGCGTTTTTGTTCCGTCTTGTATAGGCAGTTTAATAACCGTCAGCGGTTCCGCTTGGGGGAACACGTCGTTTGTGTACTCAAACTCGTCGATTTACAGACCACTCGCTCTATAAGGAAGCGTTCGGGTGCAGGGGATGGGATGGTAACCGTTTGAGTTAAACTATTTCCACAATTTCCGCGAGGGCGGCGGCAGTGGAAATTGCATTTCCAAATGTATTCCGTTTTTGCAACTAACCCCAACTTCTGGAGTGCATGTTGAAGGTGTGGAACTAGAGAAGTCCTCGCTCCATTCAAACGTGACCAAAAAAAAAGGGTTAGCTGAAAGTGCTTGGGTATTTTTCGGCGTTCGTTTTCCAAATTGCATTTCAATGGTTGCCAAGGCAGATATTTGTTTTCAGGGTTGGTCAGCCACTATGCGTTAACAACGGAATTTTGAGCTATTGAGGAATTTTCAAATGCATCACAGTGTTTTACGCTATTAAAGAAAACATTTTAAATGGTATGAACCCCTCATAAAGTTTTTGATAACAAGTTTAAAAAATATCAATAAAATTAGTATTACATATTATTAAATGTCCCTAATTAGAAGTATTATACAGAACCAAACTGCCAATTAATAGTGCAAAATATTATTAGTTAAAATGAGCTCCCTTTTGTCCTAAAAATTCTCTTCCCTAAAAGTTACAAAACCCATTTTTTTATTTCGGCATGCGGTTGACTTCTTGGTTAAAATGTACGTATTAAATAATAAAAAATAATAATAATAATAATAAATGAATTATCTTGTCACAGGCCTTATTTTCGCGATAGAAAAGCTTGTTAATTTGTCTGACAAGTAATACAAAAAAAACAGACAAACGGAACACACAATCTGTTCCAACTGAGGAGCAATCAAATATTATACATTCAAATTGGTTCCACAAAACTGGGGAGTCTATTTCCCAGGCACGGGTAATAGCCAAACAACATTATTAAAAAGACATAAAGGTGACAATTGTTGTTGCGTTTTGCTGCTTTAGGAATTAAGTCGCCGCTGAGTAGATCGCGGGAGGCGAGATAAAAACGAGCCGGAAAACCGCAACGAAATAAAAGTGTCGCTTGGTGGCTAAAAGGGAGACGGCATAGAAGATAAGGCTAAAAGAAAGGTACCGCAATACAAGGCGCATAAGCAAAAACAAAGCCCATTGCCCGTAGAAAAGGTGAATGTACGAAGACAACGAAATACAAAACCGAGATATATTTACGTTTGCAGACGCAGAAACAGTTAAGGTTAAAATAATAGCACATATGTTAGTATATCTTTTTTTTTAAACACTCAAAATATACTTTGAAAAATTCGAAAAATGTGCTTCATTACTTAGAACAATTTTGCCTGCTTGTTGATAATAATCACTGTTCTACTATAATTAAAATAGAGGTATAAACTGAGCCCAACTAAGATAACTTGAAAAATAATCAGTAAAATAAGATTTTGATGGGCTTCTTGTACAGGTGTAGTGCCTACAGTTATTGGGATGCTATTTATTTGGCCATGTCTGTGCATTTTCAGATACAGATGCAAAGTTTCTGAGAAGCTTTAAACCTCACGAAGTGGGTCTGGGACATGTAAAATTGTTGCTGGCCTAGGCATAACTAAGAGTTTTTCCTCTCTAGCTGTTTTTTCTTTTTTAGCTGTGCAGCTGTGGCTTTGGCACCTGCAGCGCGGCAATAGACTCACCTCACATGACTTACCCGTCCCCTTCAGCACCCCCCTCCCCCCTCTCTGCATCTAGAGTTCATGTTTGCAAAACTTGTTGCCGGTTGCAGTTTTTGTTTGTAGTGTGTGTGCTTGTGTCTCTTTTTATTTCAATTAATTTCGGGGTCAGTGGGTTTGTAAAACAAACGGAAACAACCAGAGGATGGAAAAAATTTTAAATGCAGACGATGTGCGGAAATTACTAATCTGCAATTCCCCATGAGGAAACACCTGAAGCGGTATCTGCGCAGAAAAACTAAACAACAGTCATCTTCAATAAACGCTTCCAAAATATTTTTTTTACCAAATAAACCTAAATATTTTGCCTTTAAACTTAAATTCTCTTTAAATGTACAAAATACATATTAATTTGGTTTTCAATTCAATAGTCTACATACAATAATTTAGGCATATTTTCTGATGTCAGTTTTTTCAGTTAAAAGGCAAATTTAATATATTACGTCAGAATTTCCTTAACATATTTATAATACCTTTGACAAGGGAATACAAACCTAGTCATGCCACTAAATATAATATAATATACATATACTTATACACAGGTTAGGTATCCGACTATATCTTCCTTTTGTATGTTTGTCTTTCGGTCGATTGCTTTTCTCAGCCCTTTAACGCCGGGTACTTTGATCTGCACTTTTATGGCTTCCTATTTTTCTGTTTCAGACTTGGTTTGGCCTTTTAAGCCTGTGACACGTTTCAAAAACACATGTCAGAAAAAAAAGTCAAATAAACTCTTAAGTGCTGACCAGCATTTACAAAAAAATGCTCTCTGAAACCTCATGCCTTCATAGTAAACGAAATGTTTTAAATTTCGCAAGATTAACTTTTTTTTTAAATTTTGCGATTGATAAAAGATCTTTGAATTTTTCGTTGAAAACAATTTTGATTCTGCTTATTAGCCAGATAACTATGATAGGCACTTTTTGTAACCCTTTACCATTGATCTTGCGGTAACTCTAAGTTTGCACACAAATAAATAAAAAGCTATTTTCCCTGAGAGCGAAAAAGAAAACAATAAACCGGCGAACGTCTTCAAAAGGCATACCGTCGTGGTTATTGACTCTTTTTTCTCTTTGTTGATGTTTCTGTTATTGTTATTATTTGTTTAACGCTTTTTGCGTTCGCCTTTGCGCTTGTTGACCGCCGAACTGAGCAGGAAGCAAGTGATGAGCCCCAAGAAGTTGAAACATGTAGGGAACATAAAAACACAAACTTAAAGGCACTGTATGAGTCAAGCTGGTGATTGTCATTGTTGGAGCAGAATTTTCTCCGCTGCTGGGACACGCTTAATTGGTTGGTGAAACTGGGTTGAGCGCAATTTTTAATGAGCCCTGAATTGTTGCTAGCCGAATTGTGGTCTGCCATCGACCGGCTGAGTCAGCGTAGGTGTGTAGAATAGCAAGAAAAAGCAAAAGAAATCTTACAAGAAATGCCAAACAAGAGGAGGTTCCCAGCAGAACTGAATTGGTGTGACTAATTCATGGCAGTTGTGAAATCGAGACAAGAATTCAAGCAATCGTGTACAACCATTAAATTCACTACTGGCATTAAATATTTTATAAACCATGTTGCACAAAAATTATACCATGTATAAAGACAAAGTAAGTTTGATATGATATATGGCTAATTAGCTTTCGATCTCGTACCAATCAAGATATTCACAGAGATAATGCAGATTAAGATAAATTCGTCATTAACCTGTTACCCGACAAACGAAACCGTTAAAAAGAAATAATAAAATAAATATTTAGCCTTATGTGGGCAAACTTCATTAATTAGTACGCAGACAGAGGAGAGGAGGCCTTAAATGGGAGCTCCGACGACATCATTATCATTATCTCTCCCAATACCTGCGACCACAACATCGATAGAGAAGAAATGAGAAGCGACAAATCAACCACAAGTGAAAGTTGATTAATAGTTTCCGTTTATGGTGAAGCGTTTTCTTTTCCATCATATCAGCGACTTTTCGTCTCACGTTCGCCCATTTTCATTTTCACACATATTGCAAATATTTATTTCTCGTAATTAGCACAACAAGCACGCAACTGAGACTTGAAATCAAATGAATGAGTAATGTATGCAAATAGACATTTTATAAATGGGATTTGGTAGCACAGACCGCTTCCATATTTGTGCATTTTTGCGCATAATAAAGTTATGAATATTTCAACTTATCCATAGGATTGGCAGTGAAATTATTTTTTGTCAAACAATTAAAGGTATTCTTGTTATTCGTTTTTATCTACTTTTCCTTTTTAGTAAACTAAGCATATATACATATATACGAAAAATATTCTTCAAAGTTTTCCAAACTTGCATAGTCCAATAATAAAAAATGTTGCATTTTAATAATGAATTTAAGGTAAACAAATTTAAGGAATAAATTTAAGTTTCTC